CAGCCTGGGCTGGAGCATCCCCAAGGATGGAGATCCCACAGCCTCTCCGCTCCCCTGCTCCAGCGCTGGAGCACAATCACAGCAAGCAATTATTTTCTCGTATGGAGTACTGACTTGCCACGTTCCAACCTTTGTCCTTCGGCTCTTCTCTTTCTGCTACACACCTCTAAGAAGAGTCTGGCTCCATCTTTTTAGACCCTCCCATTTGGTATTTGTAGACAGCAGTTCCTGGCCCAATCACTTATCTAAAAGCCCAGTTAAAATTCTTGTTAAATCATACCTTCTTCATCATTCTCTCTCACCAGTGAAATGTCTTCCAGACTACGTATTTCAGCCCCTGACTATTCTTCCTCACTTTGCACAGGCCTCCAGTCTCTAAACTGACAAAAATTTCCTGAAGGTAAAAACCTTGATGCTGATGCATTCCTTTTCATATGCCAATAGGACGCTCTCTTGAAGACCAACTCCTGTTAGCCTTTCCTATAAAATACACCATAAACAAGGTGATCTAGATGCTTTAGCACACTACAATTTGATGTGCTGGGCAACAGCTCAATTTGAGAAATAAACAGCCATCCCTAACAGGTAGTCAGCTAATAAGCACAGTATTTGCCATTTAATGCCGCAAGATGCCTAGGGTAATAAGGAATCTCACAGGACCTCCTCAGTTTAGCGGGTGGTTTTTTTCTTTCCAATCTTTTTCCTACATTTACTTCAGATGCCACACTTACGTGCTATACCTGTTCATTTCTGACACGACAGACTCCAAGCTCTAGCCCCAGATTTTGCAGACTCCTTGGCATTTTAGACTCCATGCAATACCACACCGATTTCTAAGACGTGAAGGCACCCGAACTCCAGCAAATTCTTTTGATTTTTTTCAAAGAACAACCAGGAGCATTATCATTGTTGCTATTTTTTATTTATTTATCAGTCTCATGTCACTGCTTCCATAGACATAATCCCCAGAGTTAAAAGTCTGCAATACCTTTCACATCAATAAGCAAAATCAAGCACAGGGGAAAAAAACATAGTGAACTTCACATCTATATCAAACAGTGCAAGTGTTGCACATAATCACTAAGGGGACCAGAGCTAAAAAGACACTGAACAGAAACAAACAACGTACCTGTTCCTTCATGCTGTGGCTGTAGGAGTTATTAAAATGATGTTTGCAGCTACAATGGCTGGCTGTCCTCATGTTGCCTCAATTCTTTGGACTTATTTCTTCCCATTTCTCATCTCAGCAACATCTGCATTGTTTTAACTCTCCATTATGCTCAGTAATGTCATTTTTGTACATCTGCTATCATATTCTGGGTTTTAATAAACTGGTCTTCTCCTTGATCCTGTCTCCTCATCTTTTTCTTCATCCCTGAACCTACCCTAAATCCTGCAATATCAAGCAATTTGCCTGCACAATCCTTCTCAGGCAGGTTTCATTAAAACCTCCAGCTGTGGAACTAATGTTACTAATGCAGAACTAAAATCTAAAATCTCCACACCTGGAGATCTTGCACTGGCCCCACTGGGAATCTCACCAAACTCGAACCACTTCAGGAGTTTGTACACAGCTGTTCGTTTGACTTCAAACAACAGCTTTGAAAGTCTCCATGACCATACATTACCCTCTAGATCAATGCCAAAAATCACTGTTCGTGCCTGGCTCCTTCAGAACATACTTCTACACATGCCTAAGTATACACTGTAGAAATACAATTTTAAAAACAAAATTCCCCACTATGAATTTATGCATTTTTCCTATTAATTAATGGCCAGTTACTGACACAATAAGCCAGAAACTGTGCATAAAGAGGTCTGCTAAAATGCCCTACGCGTGGCCAACAGCCTAGCTCTTAAAAATCATGCAGCCAGAATATTTTCTTTTTTTTCCCCCGAGCCATCATGCTAGTTAGACTGAGATAATAAAAACTCCATGCAACATCTCTAAAAGTTATCTGCACAGACCATTAGAGAAGAGCACCATGACAACGGCAGAATGTAGACACGTCTAATTGCTTTAAGCCCGAAGTTTCCAGCAGCAGATTCCCCAAGAGCATACACTACAGCCACCTTCAGCTTTGCTTCCCCTTGCCGGTGCAGCTGCGAGTCAGCTACCTAAGCAGCAATGCTAAGGGCACATCGGTGAGGTCTGGACAGTCCCAAGAGCTAGATGTCTTACTGCCAGAATATTTGACGTTAAGTTCATGGTTTAAAAGAGCAAGCATTGCTCATTTTCTGGTTTTAAAAAGCCCTATCTTCTCTGCACCCACAACTGACAATGCAAAACCTCTGCAGGGCACCTGTGATAGAGGGGATTGTAAGAAACGAGAAACTATAACAAAAAAGCCTTAATATTTTCTAGTTTTTAGTAGTCTTTAGTACTGTAACTTGTATTTCTGCATGCATAGTGATCTAACGATGTAACTGTTACACTAATCCCTGTTTTCTCCTTAAGGAATGTAGTGGAAGGACATGGGCACAAGCTATCACTTAGTCGTCAGACAAAATAATGAAGTGAAACAAAAGTGGTCTTGGTTCTCAGCAAATAATTGGGATAATTATGGGATAAAAGAGACTCCTAAATAATTCTACTCCAGACAGCTCGGCCTTGGGAAGGCAGATGCGCTGGGCTACAGAGATAAAGAGGCACCCAGAGAGCAACAAGACCGGAGCCAAACCACCTGAAGGACATGATAGACGTGATCCTGGAACTGAGTTTGCGCAGAAACAAATGTCAATCAGTGAACAGCGTGATGAAGAGGATGGGCCTTCATCTTGGGACCCCCGAAGACCACCCAAAGATGCTAACAGACATGCGTGAAAGATATTTACATATGCTAATTAGTTCCTAGAAATAGAATGAATATTTACATGTGTGATTGTATTTAACCTGAAGCAACAGGGTGTCTGGCGCACGTTTGGCAGAGAAATCCCCCGTGTGCCCAGCACTGCAATAAAGAATACCTGCTTCACAGTATACATTGTACTGTTAGGTTTTTCCTACTGGATCTTCGAATCACCTGTGAGTCCCTTGAAAGCTCCCCTGCGCCCACAAAGGCCACAGCCACACACAAAACCCACGCTAATGCCAAAAACGACCAGCAAATTGCACTCCAGCCCACAAAACTCCAACGCGTCCCTGCTCCCACATGTGCTGTCAGTGAAGGCTCGCATCTGTCCCCATGCCACATTCACGGCCTGCGTGGATTCCGGGTCCCACAGGCTCGCTCATCAGGAAGGGCCCATCCCTTCCCTCCAACATTTCCCTCCCACCCCACCTTCACCGAGCACATCGCAGCGGATATAAAGCCACCAGAGACCAATACAAATAACAGGCCGGAGCTGCCGGAGTCTGGTTCCCAGCGCCACACGCGTCTCGGGAGCGGCACCTCAGACAAAAAAGGCTGGGGCAACTCGGAAGCCATTCGCGGTAAGCCAGCGAAAGCCAAAGCCTGCTTTCACCCCTGTTTTTCAGTCAGAAAGGCGCAGCCGTCTTTAAACGGGACCGAAGGGCAGGGGGAGCCGCCCGGCCCCTGACAGAGCCCCGGCAGCGCC